GAGAGAAAGTAAATGGTGTTTAGGAGAGGTAGAAGATGAAGAAGAAGATTTTTTGAGGGAGAGAAACAATAAGAAAATTGGGTTTTCTTAGACAGAAAAGGGGCTTACTAAAGAGAAGTTTTTCCTTTCTACTGTTCTCTTCCCTGATCTTTGTGCTGTCATTCGTTTGTATAAACAGAAAATAAAAGATGAGAAAGATGAGTCAAGAAAGTGGGAAATTGGGATTTTTGACCCCTTTCAATAACTACTTTGGACTTTTGACCCCCTTTTGATTTTTACTTATTCATTGACCCCTTCACCTCGATTTCTGACCCCTCCCCTTATTTTATCAGGTAAATTGACTAAATTGCCCTATTCATAATAAATGCATTTATGATATAATAAATTTCCAACCAACCCACCAACTTAACAATTCTCACTTTGTTTTTCAACTCCAAATCACCACACACACACGCAAGTCACGTTTTTTTTTCCAATACTCAAGATTTTCTCCACGTGATTGTTGGCCCACATTATCCAATCGATCGGTCCCCACATAATCCGTTATCTCGAATCCATTGTTTTCACAATATAGGTATGTCCATTTCATCATTTTAGAATATTGTACTTCTTCAAACTTGTAATGATATGAAATTTTATCATTTTTCTAGAAAAAAACGTTATTTTACGGAAAACAGAACGGTGCATTGAAAGATCCAACAGTAAAAAGGGAAACAGGCTCTAAAGGCAGCTACTGACTCGATAGCTCAAGTTGAGTCGACTGTGATTCTTCTTGTTCCCCTTACTCACCTCTTCAACATCTATAAAAAAGCYTTTCCCCTTTGAATAATAATAAGGTCAAGTCAAGCTTTTTGAAGCAAGCTGCTGCCGCCCGCTTGGCGGGCTCCGCGCTCGTTATCCTTACTGTTCTCTCTGCAAAGGAAAGCGAGATCGTACCTCTTTTTCCAGGCCTGTTCGGACATACGGTTCCCGCGGAAGATCAAGTTGGTGAGCGGTCCTTCATGTCCAGATCGACCGGGACCGGGACCGAGATGGGGATAAACTGGGGTAGACCGGGATAGGGATTGGGACCGGGATAGGGATTGGGGCCGGGATAGGGACTGGGACCGGGACCGGGATAGGGACTGGGATAGGGACTGGGACCAGGACCGGGATAGGGACCGAGACCATGCAATATAAATCTTGAATTTTTCTTGTTTGTTTGTAAATTTATTGATTTGTATTTAATTATAGTGTTTTGGTCTATTTGCAGGATGCCTCGTGTTTTTATATTATTCGGTGGAGAATGGAAAGATATTGAAAAGGATTACGTGGGTGGTCGTACAAGAGGATTGACTGTGGATAGTAAAATCACCTATGCTGAATTTCCAGGACATGTATGTAGGCTAAGTAGTACAAATCCATTACAGGAAGATATCATAATTAGACGTGTATATAATTTTAAAGCGAAGGTTTGTGTAATGGAAATAACTGACGACGATGACCTGACTTTCTTCTTGACTGGTGAAGATGTCTCTGAATTGCCGCTATACATAGCTACCGTGCCAAAGAAGGTACATCAGAATGAACTGTACATGCCTTCTTTCCCATATTATTTAGGCCAACACGTGTCCAATGTTCCTATTCCCTCAGCTTGTGCCCCCCATTTGCAAAACCCTTATTTTCAAGACCCTCATTTTCAAGTCTGTCAATTCCGTCCTCGTCGTCGAACCCCTCTTCTTCCCGCCCACCACCCCCTACTTTGGTCATATTGGTCATGATATAGCATCTCTCACACCGTTAGGGTCAGATGTTGTTCCTTGTAATTTGGGAGATGATAGGGCATATGATTGGGATGTGCCTGGCTTGTGGAATGGAAGTGAAAATGTGGATGAAGATAGTGATGAATCATATCGTCCAATGACCGACATGGGAGAAGGAGACGACGAAGGGGAATATGGAAATGAGTACGCCAGTGATCGACTTGATGTGCACATGAGCATGAAAAGGTAACAATTCATAATACAATGGCTGAATATCCTGTAGACGCCGTCCATGAAATGGCAAACAATAGAGTCACCGGTCAGTCAGAAGGTGATAGATTGCAAGCCATGGTCCAATCGGCTGGGACCGATGATGTTAAGGAGGGTGACGTATTCGACTCGAAGAAGGAACTAGTTATGAAAATGCATTTCTTTGCATTGCGGAAGAACTTTCAGTTTCGAGTGAAGAAGTCTACGCCGGAACTATACTTGCTGCGATGCATCGATCCTACTTGCACATGGCGACTTAGAGCCACTAAGATTAGAGATTGCAACCTGTTTAAGATAAAGAAATATATCGCAGTTCACTCTAAGTGCAATGGTGCCGTTATGAAACAGGATCATCGTCAGGCGAAGAGTTGGGTGGTCGGTCATCTAGTACAATCAAAGTTTACTGATGTTTCTCGCACGTACAGGCCGAAGGACATCATGCAAGATATTCGTGAGGAGTACGGTGTAAATATGAGTTACGACAAGGCCTGGCGTTTGAGCGAAGAAGCACTCCGACTTATCAGAGGGGATCCAGCTTCATCGTACGTGCTACTACCCGCTTATGGGGAAGCCGTGAAAATCATGAATGCAGGTACTATATTTGAATTGGAGTTGGATGATAGCAAGTACTTCAAATATGTCTTCATGGCCATGGGTCAATCAATTAGAGGTTTTATGTGTTGCATTCGACCAGTTTTGGTTATTGACGGGGCACACCTTAAAGGGAAGTACGGAGGTGTATTACTCACTGCTTCTACTGCTGATGCGAATAACCAAATATACCCAATTGCTTTTGCAATAGTCGGGAGTGAGAGCGTCGCATCATGGGTATGGTTTATGACTCAATTGAAGAGTGTTGTCCACACCGTTCAGAATTTGGTCTTCATTTCTGATCGACATGCCGCCATTTGTAAAGCGATTGATGAAGTATTTCCTACTGAATTTCATTGCTTTTGTATACATCATCTAAAGATGAACTTGCTGGCCAAATTTAAAACGCCCGAGTTGGAGGGATTATTTTTTAAGGCTGCGAAGGCATTTCGCGAGTCATATTTCAATGAGAACTGGGTCCAACTGTGCGCACACCCAAGAGTGAGGGAATATCTGGAAGCTATAGGAAAGGAACGATGGGCTCGCTGCTTTCAGACGAAACTAAGATACTCACAAATGACCACCAATATTGCAGAGTCCGTTAATGCCCTTTTCAGGCATGCACGTAAGTTGCCAGTCACCGCATTACTTGATCATATCAGACGTGTGTTGCAGAGGTGGTTCTACGAACGTCGGACGCTTGCTTCTTCACGTCAGAGTACGTTGTCTGACTACGCAGAGGAAATGATTTCCGAAGCTTCGGATAATGCACGGAGACACATTGTTATGAACATCGACCAGTTTAATTTTGAGGTACGCGACGGGAACCTCAATGGGGACGTTGACTTGCAATCGCAGACGTGTACTTGTCGGGGGTTCGATTATTTTAAAGTCCCGTGCTCCCATGCTATTGCTGCAGCTAGTTCTCGTAGCATAAATCCGTACACACTATGCGATGAGGCGTACACGGTCAACAGCTGGATGT